CGGCCGTTTTGCCCTGGCACCCCGAGTGTTCCGGCAGTAACACGCCACGGACCAGGCTCAGACACCGGGCAGGGGCCGCTGTGCCTCCCCGCGGGGTTCGGTGTCAGGCAGTCCCGCCCGTGAAAGCTGTTTTCAGTGGCCATGGCGCTTTGGGAACGCGTAGTTTGGACCATGGAAAGGGTGCAGCCTTTCCTAGTAATTTCTGGTTCAGTTAAATTCCTTTTATCTGGAATAGAACATCCAAAGCCAGGGAAAATAATTTGATTTTGCTGTATCTGTTGAGTAATTGCAAGGTCGTTGCCATGCTTCTGTTTAGATGTTTTTGAAATTAAGAATTGCCAGTGAAACAGGCCAGGACATTGGCATGATAGAAGCTTCTGGAATGCTGAGGTCGGGATTCGGACGGTGCTTGCTATGGCTGTGCTCACAGACCGCCAGGTGGAAGTGATGTCTGGAGAGAGACATCGTCAGGCACAGCGGGCCGGAACCTTTCCCTTTTCCTCTACGTCATGAACGTTGAGAGCAGAAATATTTTTCATAGTTCTTGGGGAAAAAAAAATTATTTTTTTAAATAACAAAAGTGAAATGAAACCTCTTGAGCTTAAACCATATTCGGTGTTTGCTTTTCCAGCCTGGCTTTGCATGATTTTGAAAGGGGAATCTTTCTGCACGATTCTGCTGATGGCTTTGTGAAATCCCCCTGAGCCCTGCGGGGCTGAGGGGGCTGAAACAGAAACATTCTCAAGAGCTTTGTGAACCCAGTGAAACTGTAAATGACCCATTGTGTTGGGTTTCTTTTTGTTTTTGTTGTTGCAGGGTGCCAAGGCTTTAGCTCTTTCCTTGGTGGCTGATAGCTCTGTCCTCACGTTAGACCTGGGCGACAACTGGCTGCAGGGAGAAGGGGCGGCTGCAATTGCCGAGATGCTGAAGGAAAACTGCTACATTTCAGGTTTGTCTGAAACTCTCCCGTCTGCTGTTCTCTGGCAGACATGTTGCTGTAGAGCAGGAAACTGTGCTTCTTTATGGATTTAAGCAGTTCTGCTGTCATAGTGACTGTCGCGAAAAGGGTACCAGAACTGAGGTGCTGTTTGAACTGTGCGTGTTTGAAACTGCTGCTTCGTCACCTTTTCCACCTGTTTTCCTGGCATTTACTTTTGTGAGGTTAGGATGCCACTAACTGGAGTCAGCCCCTGTGCTGTTATTCCTGTGAAGCTGCTGGAAAGACAGGAGAAAGAGCGAGTTTCTGCTATGACTGTGGATCAGAAACATCCACCTGAAACTTAGACTAGTCAGAGGATGTGCTTAATAATGGTTAAGGCTTTGTAAGTTGAATTTGCATGATTGGCATCTAAGAAGACAGCGCTTCCAAGTAGGAACAGGTGAAAGAGAAACCCATCTAGAACGAACCTGCAAGCCTCTGTTCTAGCAGCAGCACGTCTGCTCTTCCCAGGGACGTTTCACGTGGATTAGGCTGCAGATACTACAGATGCAGGGAGCAGAAGCAGAGCAGCGCTTCCTGAATTCGCCGCAGTCGGGCAGTGTTGTGTCTAGAGATCATGGGTTTAGTCCCTGCTTTTCCAGAGTCAATATTCCTGCCTTTTGTAATTCAGGTAGCAACTCCCAGCTGTACGTGGACAGGTTGTCTGGGTTCTGGGTTACACGTGGCAGGGTCTTGCTGTGGCCCTGCGTAGCTGAGGTGCAGGGAAGGCAGTTCAGGGGGATACAGCTGGTTGTGCCAGCACAGACCCAGAAGCACTAACAAGCCCTGCCAGCCCTGAGGTTGTTACGTGCAGAGACAGTCTAGGAGTCCCCATGCTGTGCTTCCACGTGAGGAGCGCAGAGCCCAGACCCAGGATGGGTCTGCACGGAGCCCCCGTCATGTCTGTCACGTTTTCCAGCACGTGCATTAACCTCCTGTTCCGGTGTCTGAACCTCCAGGCCCCTGCTGGGATACAGCCAGGAATTTGCTGTAAGTCACACTGGTCGCTGCACTGGAGGATGTATTTTATCCACAAAGAACAAGGTCAGTTTAGACAGCTGAGAACACAACTCTCCTATAGCTAAGGCAGCCCATAAGCTTTGTCGGGATGTGGTCATGGATGAAGGGGACAGGTTCAGTGCTGCGAAACCCCCGTTAACATGGGATTTTCCATGGTTTTTTTCTCCAGTGGTTGGATTCAGTATTAGAGGTGTAGGGTTCTGTTACTTCTGTGCTAGGAAAATCCATTCTGTGTGCAGGTGGGCAGAGAAGTTCATGCTTTCGTGTTCGGGTCTCAGCGCCTGTCTTCACATCCATTCCCGTTCCACGTTTAGCTTTGCTGTCTCTCCCTGCCTAGACTCTTTTTTTCAAGCCATGATGAGGAACCAAGAGACCCAATATAACTTAGCTGGGTGTCGGTTGTGCCTGGAGTGGGAAGCACAGATGTACAAGGAGAGCTTTTGTCTCCCATATTCATGTGGCAAAACGTGGATAAGCCTATCCTGGAGACAGGCTGTGGATTCAAAAATTAACTTCTGTTGTTCCTACTGAACTACTATGTTAGACCAGGCTCATCCTTTGTGTTTTCCAAGTCTGGCACTACTTCTGCCCTTGCAGCGTAGAGCTCAGGTGCTGATATGAGATGATTTGATGATCTGATAATGTTTTTTCTTTCCCCAGCTGTTGACTTATCTGACAACAAATTGGGTGTTGAAGGAGCCAAGGCCTTTTCGGCTATGCTTCTAGAGAATACTACGATTGTATCCCTCCAGCTCTCAGGAAATGAATTTGATGATCACGCAGCAAAGTATTTAGCAGATGCCATCACAGCAAACAGCAAAGTAGAAATTCTGGATCTGAGTTACAACATGTTTGGTGACAAAGCAGGTAAAGTGCTGTCTCTGCACCTTGCACAGAGAGGGGTGCTGCTGCATTAGCAATGCAGCTTAAGGAGTTGCTTGTCTGCCTCAGGCCTTTGGAGAGCAAGGTTGGTTAATATTTTCAGTTTCCTGAAAAGTATTTTTGGCTCTTTGTAGGTGAAACCACTGTCAAGCTACCGTCATCTATTCATCTTCATTTTCTGCCTTTTCTTATAGTATTGCAAGTTTTGCCTCTTGTTTCTTTGCCCTGTTCTTCCTAGTTCCCAAGTTCTACTTTTTTTCTTGATCATTATTTCGGCTTCCACAGGTGTGTAAAACGCTTAATAAGAGCAGAAAAAACCCGGCAGAACTGACTTTGCCAGCAATCCTTCCTTCTGCCTAGCTCCCTGGCACCGAGGAGTGATTGCAGGTGCCCAGGGGAGGGTGTGAGAGTGAAACAAACACGCGCTTGTGCTTCTCTGACACCTTGCCACCCTTGACAGCCTGTGCTTTGGAGAATTCCTTTGCTAAAGACTTTGGCTATTTCTTTTTTATGTTCTTCTTGGTCTTGACCTTGTCAATGCATATTGCGCTTCCTTTGGCTCTTGATTTCCAAGCGTGCTGTTGGATCATTGCATCATTGTATCCACAGTGCTCCTGTGATGTGGTGAAACCTGGCTGTTGCTCTCTGGGCCTTCCTCTGTACTGGTGTCACCAGGAACAGCTGTGCTGGGCTGAACTCCCCCATCCTTTCTCCTGGCTGTCCACTTCTGCAGAACACTCCTCATGATGTCATTGCTAATCCCTGACTTTTCAACCTTTATGCTCTTCTCCTGTTGGCACCTTACTGGCACATACTTCATCTTCTCCATCTGTGGCTGTCCTTGGGCAACCCCAGCCATGTGTTCTGCTACCATCTCCAGGCTGAAGATTCACAAATCTGCTCCCTGCTCCTGGTCTCAACCTACAACTGTGCTCCAAATCCCTCTACTTCCAACACTGTCTGTGATGAGTACACGCTCAAAAAGGGAGATACTGAATTTTTCCTCTCCCATGCTGCATTCCATGCTGTCTGTCAGATCCACATTCTCCTCTGGTTGGGTCTTTCATGAAAAATCCATCTTCTCTTCATCCACTGCTTTACAACCCTTAATCATCACGCATCTCACCTGCTATAGCCTCCTCCGTGAAGATTCTCCATGTCTTCAGTGGGCTTCTCTGGCTTACAAGAGAGGACACGACCATAATCCTCATCTCTTCTGGCCCCCAGGAACACACCAGCCATTCACTTGGTTCCTTCCCAGATCTGTTCTGTTTTTTTCCTCATTTTTATTTTTGAAGGCTGCAATGGCCATTTTTCTCTCCACCCCTGTCCTGCTCCCCTCCTGCTGCCTTTACAAACAGCTCTCCCCTGTCTTCTGGTCTTCAAGCATGAGATGGCTTCCTTTTCTTCTGCACTGGTTGACAACCTCCTTTCTTTCCTGCCCCATTGGAAAACTCGCAGAATGCTTGCTGAGGAAACCTATTCTGATTTTATAACGGCACATGAGCTCTGGGAGGGGTTAAAGAGCGAGCAGAGCTGGCTTCTCTGCCAGCTGAACAGAGGAGATGACTTCAGCTGGCTGGTGGCCAGAGCCTGGGAAGGGTGAGACGCTGTGGGAAGCTACCTGGTTGCTTGGTGTCAGCTTTCAGACTCGCATCAGGCTGGAGGAAGAGCCTGTGCGGTCAGATCTCCACGCATGAGCAGCAGAGCCTGGCTTTGTGATCTGGTGATTGGATTTTCTCTTCCTCTCCGCTACGTTTGCAACCTGTGGTGAGAGAAACAAATACGCTTTATTGTCTGGCAGCTTCTGGGAAAGGCAGTAGAAAAGAAAATGATATGTTGTAGTTTTAATTGCCTGCCTAGAAGTAATTACAGACAGTTGCAGAGAAACACCTAACCTAACCTGAGCTTCCTTTTAACTCTTAAATTTAATCCTTTTAACTCTTAAACTCTTTGGCTTCATGGATTTTTTTCTTAGGTGAAATTCTTGGGACAGCAATAGCAGAAAACATTGGATTAAAGGAACTTAAAATCAGCTGGAACCATTTCTGTAGCCAAGGGGCAGCTGCCTTGGCCAGAGGCTTGGGGGTAGGAAATGTTTTCACTCCTGTTTTTGAGTTCTGGGGACTCACATGAAGCTGTAGCTGTTTAAACAATCACGAATGCCGTGATGTGCTGTTTGCCTGGTGCCCTTCCCTGTCCAATAGCCATCTGTGATCTGGGATCATATGGACCTTGGAACTGAGACAGTAAAATCATCCATTGTCTATCGACATA